AGGACAACTAGATGAGCCCCAGAGACAGATCCCCTGTAAAGACCTTGTCTCCTAGACGGCCACCAGGACAAGACCACAGGAACCAGATGAGTCCTCTGCACAATGTGACTTTGCTGCAGCCTGGAACTGAACTGCTGGTTTTGTCTGGCCAGAGGAGAACTGGCCCCCCGACTGAGCCTGGTTTCTCCGAAGATTTTTTCTCCATTCTGTCACCGATGGAGTTTAGGTTCCTTGACGCTGTCACCTCTGGCTTGCTTAGTTGGGGACACTTAATTGCCAGCGATATCGTCGACTTGATTGCACAGATACTATTTAAAGGGGTCATATGATGCTGCTAAAAAGAACATTATATTTTGTGTATTTGGTGTAATGAAATGTGTTTATGCGGTTTAAAGTTCAAAAAACACATTATTTTTCACATACTGTACATTATTGTTTCTCCTCTATGCCCCACCTTTTTGAAACGCATAGATTTTTACAAAGCTCATCGGTCTGAAAAAGCGAGGTGTGCTGTGATTGGCCAGCTATCCAGTGCATTGTGATTGGCCGAATACCTCAAGCGTGAGACGGAAATGTTACGCCCCTCACATACTGTTGACGTGTCCGGCCGGAGTGACGAGACAAACATTAAAACACATTACAAACGAGGCATTTGTACTGCCCAAAACTCGTGTTTGAATCATCAGTGGCAACGAAAAACACAGCGGCCTAGCGTGAGGGGAAGCCCCGGCTTAGTGTGCGCTGAGGCCGATAGAGTGAGCTGAGGCGGGCTGGACTGTTGAAAAAAAGTGAAAGTTGATGTATTCCCTCAGCGACCAGCACAGATCAGCTCCAGGCATGACGAAGCGGATATCGTCCTCTTTTGGAAGACCAAACAAAGTAGTTTCACTTTCACAACGAAGCACACAGCGTCTTCAGGACATGGCTGCGGTGACAACAACACTACTACAGCGAGAATAAAAGTTACGCCTTCTTTCTTTGCGTGAACATTTGGGTGGCGTTATGCAAATCTTCCCACATAGTGATGTAGACATGTGGGGGCGTGTTAGAACGAGGCGTTTTAGGGGGGTGTGGCTGACTCTTAACTTTTATAAAGAATATCTCTTTGGATTTGAGACTTTAGTCTTTGCAACTTTACAGATCTTCTTTATGCACCAAGAGCTTGTAACACTCCAAAGAGAAAGGAACAATTGAAATCGCATCATATGACCCCTTTAAACTGAACTGAGCTGGATGATGACAGCACTGAATTCAATGATGAACTGTTTTTAACTGAAAATTGAGTGTTAACTATTGTCCTTTTGCATTATTGACACACTATTTGACTAATTAATGCTGTTCAGTTGCTTTGACACAATCTGTATTGTTAAAAGCACTATATAAATAAAGGTGACTTGACTTGAGGTTCACAGGAGGATTGTTTCTCCACAGTGATGGCACATAGAAGGCTTGTATCCACTGCTAGTTATTAACAGGAAACATGAGTTGTCTGTGAAACTCCTTACACACTGATGACATATAAACCAGTTCTCTTTTGAGTCCTCATGTGTTGATTAAGATTATGTTGATTCTATGCAGTGTAATGCAGTCTCATGTGCCTGTTAAGGTTTCCTTTTAGAGTAAATGTTTTTCCACACTGTTGGCAGGTGAAAGGGTTCTCCCCAGTGTGAACGCTCATGTGGTAACTAAGGTCTCCTTTTTGGTTGAAACTTTCTCCACACTGATGGCACACATAAGGCTTCTCTCCGGTGTGAATTCTCATGTGTCTGTTAAGGCCTACTTTTTGAGTATAACTTATACCACACTGTTGGCAGGTGAAGGGGTTCTCCCCAGTGACTCTCATGTGCAAATTAAGGTTTTCTTTTCTACTGAAACTTTTTCCACACTGTTGGCAAGTGAAAGGC